CCGTCGTCCCCCCACTGGGCCACAGCAGCAGAAGGCTAGCCGCCGAAGGATTCTATCCCTCCCGCCCTCCCTCCTTCCTCCTCCTCTTTCAGTGGCCTACATTTCATCGGGGCGAAAAGACAACGCATTCTTTTGTTGCTTTGCTTTTACAAGATAACGCGGTCCGACGCTATACAGGGATCTCCATCGCCGTCGATCCTAATCCAATTTATACTCGACCCTCTGTAGTCGCCCTCCGTTTGAGTTGCGATCACGACGTGCCGTGCACGCATTAACATCGACGATGTGATCGGGCATCTAAACTTGTTTGTTGTAACGTCCGAAGAAATAATACCCACGAAATGATCTGTTTGAGATACATGAGTGAGCTGTGTTAGAGAAACCCTACGTCGGATAATTGATGTGGTGTTGAGCAGTTAATATATCTTAGTTGGCCCATAACTCATAGACTTTAAGCTTTTTGAGTGAATGTGGGTCTAACTGGGTACGTTGACGGGCTCGGACTTGAGCTCCCTCTTGGCAATCTCCCCAAGTGAAGGTATTGGATTTTTACTGCGTGCTCCCAACAAAATCGACTCGGTCATATCGCGCCGTCGTCGTTGTCTCTAAACACGAGCCGTCGCGAAGCGGGTCCGCACGAGAGTTCCGCCTTTCCCGAAGGCCCAAACGTGGGTCCGCCAAAGTCCGAACCGAAGAACCGCGACTGCAACCCTAATCCGTCTCGGCTCGCTCGAAGTCTCTGGGCCGATTTCCTTTGTTTTTGGCCCATTAAATCGTCTCCCTGGGCCGACCGAGGTTACATAAAAATGGAGACTTTTTCTTAGGTCGTTCAGATCCTGGAGGCGCCATCTCCGTTGATGACGTTGACTTTTGATGGCAGGTCAATGGCCTCCTCTCGCGTGACGCATTGGCTTGCGATTGTTCCCACAGCGTGCATGGGTCAGGGTGTCTCCAACTCTCATGCAAAATAATAATAACAATAATAAACAAAATTCTAGCATGAAGAAAAGTCAGCGAACACATTCTGAATTTTGTAACTGTACCACGACTTACGATGATCAACGAAAGGATTTGATTGGATCTATTCGATAAGTTTTAAACCTTGATTACACCTTTTGAAGGTTTTAGGATTTTAATGAACTTTCGTGACAAATTATAAGACTTTCAATACATTTATTCTTTAATGTCCTTACCATTCCCTTATTTTTCCCTTAAGTTGACTACTCAAATCAATTGGAGATTATTTCAGTCCCAATATGTCACCCAATCTTGCAACTCCCTTTAGAAATTCGACTGCAGGGCGAGCTTCGCCTCGCCAGATCTGGGCGAGGGCGGAGCTCGCCCAGCCATGGCGAGCTCACCCAGCTCGGGCGAGCTCGCCCAGCGGCGGCGAGGGCCCAGCTCGCCTCGCCGGAGCTGGGCCCCCGCCGGCGAGCCTCCCCCCTGGCCGGACAGGCCAGGGGGAGAAGGAAAAGAAAAAAAAAAGAAAAAAGGAAAAAAAATTCGAAAATAATAAAAAAAAATATTAAAATATTGCCAAGTGGATGCCGGCCGGCGGCCATGTCAGCGTCGACCGGCCAAAAGGACTGAATTGGCTGGTTTGCAAAAGGTTTAGGACTGAATTGGCCCAAAAAAAAAAGGTTTAGGACTGAATTGGCACAACTGCAAAAGGTTTAGGACTTTTTTGGTAATTTTCCCGTTGATTTTATGTTTAATTCAGATTAAAGGGTTTTTTTTTTTAGCCTAGCATGCTTTTTTCAGGCCGGATTTAGGTGACCAACTGATAAGGGCACAATTAATTGATTAATCTTGTTATATTATTGTCAGAGACATATACATAACTTATGTTAAGATCCCACTAGTGGCACACTTGGACATCGACCTCATAAGCAAGCTTTGGATCATTAATTAATAGAAGGAAGATGTCAAATGAACAGCATATATTAATCATCACGAATCGATTAGGTGTGGTCATGTTAATTAGACCGTTTGTGCCGTGGTATAATTAGTTGTGCAGTCGTCAAAAAGCCGCTCGCCATAGCTTCTCAATTTTGTACCTTCCTCGTTTTTTTCTTCTTTCCTCTAATAAATTTTTTTTTTTTGGTAACCCAGGGAACCCCCGCACAGCCGACAGCCGGGAGGTAAACCCTGGGGGTGACACGTGCTAGCCACCACACACGTGCACCGGTTAAGTCACCCTACGGCGCTCGGGATTCGAACACTCAACCTTTTGCGAGAGAAACAGTGCCCTTTCCAGCAGCGCCACCCAGGCGGGTGCTCCTCCTCTAATAATTTGTCAATGTATAAGGTCAAGAAATGGGTCATTTGACAAATCTTGATACCAAATGCCGCGACGAATGTGGCAATCAATGTCAATCGGCCAGAAAGAAAGGGAAGATACCATTTGGGAATTTGCTGTGGAAGGGTTGGGTGAGATGGCTTAGTGTTAAGTGCATGGGGACAACATTAGGGTTTGGCGCTTTTGGAGGAGACCCGACGTATTCATTTGTGAAAATAATAAGGAAAATGTTTGCATAACCGTATCACGTCACAATGTTATGACCACAAAAGACAAGATCGATTTTCCGTTTAACGCTAAAGTTCTCGAGACTTCTTAGATCTCCCACTTCTTGGAACCAAGCTTTTAGCCATTTTAAGGCTGGATCAAATGCTTTTCTATGTCGTCAAAGCACAAATCACCTTGTTCCTGAGGATACGGTCACATTGGAATCTCAACCTTGCACCAGAACGAATGATGTGAACGTGTTCAAACAAAGAGAGGGCCTTGGGGACTCAATCCTTTTGGAACGACACGCATTCTCTTGGAACGTGGGGCCGTCCGTTCTGAATTTTCACAGTGAAGCGGACGAACTACGACTCGAGAAATTGGTTGGAAAAATCTCCAAAGTTTGTCTCGGATGCGTCGTGGATACATGTTCTCCCCTTTTGGTTTTTATCGAATGCATATTTTAAGTGGAACGCCCTTGGATCAAAGTATAATCGTGTTTATCACTTCAATTATTATGCGGGTTGATTCACGCCTCGTCTGGAGAATCCTAGGTTCAATAAGGTTATCATTCTCATCGGCCTTTGGCTAATAGTACTAGTCTTTTTGGGAGTTCAAAGAAACAGCTTCATCGGCTCACAGGAGCCACGTCTTGGGTGAAAATATTCCTCCTTGAGCAGATATCTCTTAATCTCAAAAGCTCACATAAGATAAACACAGACGTGTACTCTTAACACCATCTGTCGAAGTGATCTCATAATTATTGCCATTGGCGAGAGATGAAGAAGAATATGCAATTTCTTTCACGACCGTAGAATTAAAGCAGACTCTTCACAAGCATCGGCGGATACTTAATTGGATTCATATTCACTCTAAAGTTTAAACATTTAGTTGTGAACTCATAGAGAAACGGTATGACCGCACTATGTTGACATATAAGTTAACACCTGCTTGAGCTTCCTCTTAGATCTACTCGTTATGAAGATATCGAGCTTCTGCTATCATTCTTCAACAATGTCTCTCTTAACTTTTCCCTGGATCTATTTCTTTCGTCTCGTAATTTCAAACTCCTAAATGCAATAACTATAGCTATTGTGATTCAATTGATATTTAGTCTGATTTATACTCATATGTAAAGAAACCTAACCTCTTGCTAATCAGTCAAATGTAATATATACTAGCATTAGACTTCTCACATATTTGACTAGAGAAAAAAATGAAATGCTGCAAAACCCCAAACGCGAAGCCTTGTGTTGTTCATATTAGCTAACACCATCCGCATAGCTAATTTTGTATTAGAAAATAAATTTATTTCCATGGTCTAGAATGGATATCATCATATTGGTTTAGTTAACAAATTCCCGTTCAGGAACCAAATAAACATTAGACTTTTCAAGACATTAATATTTCTGATAATATGTGTAATTAGTATACATCTCATTAGATGTGCTCAATAAATGTTCTTAAGGCACTGAAATCAGAACATTAGTGATGACTATCTCTGAACTAGCTAGCACAACTTGATAAAAAAAGAAAGGTAAATGTTAAAGAGTGCCTCTTGAGCACTTACTAAATTCACTATTCGAAGTAAGTGACTTCGTTAACATGAACAATTCTTTTTTTCATTTTCAAAGTGTCTCAAAATCGGTATTTTAAACATTGGGTTAATACCACGAGAAAAATCTTAAATTGGTACATCTGTGATAAATTTACCCCAAACTAATTTTTTGACCACCAAAAACCCCAAACTGGTACGCTTATGACAAATTTACCCCAAACTAATTTTTGACCATAAAAAACTCTAAACCGGTACACTTATGACAAATTTATCCTATGTTAAATTGGATTAATACAAAAAAAAATCACAAATTATTACACTTGTGACAAATGGAGGGTAAAACTCAAAACTGGTATATCTGTCAGCTGCCACGTGTCATTTAACTCAATAATTTGACAATAAAATTTAACGGAGGGTAAATTTGTCACAAATGTACCAGTTTGAGGTTTTTAGTGGTCAAAAAATTAGTTTCGGGTAAATTTATCACATGTGTACCGATTTGGAGTTTTCCGTAGTATTAACCCTTTAACAATTAGTTAGCTTGAGTAATTCCCTCATGGCACTTGTAATAATCTCGAAATTAGGCAATTATTATTTGTTAGATAAGAAACGAGGGTAGACGAGGCTCAAAGACGCCGACACTTGGCTCATTTAGCTTGAGGCTCAGCTTGGAACAAAAGCCGATCGGGGCGACTAAACCCCAAACAATTACAGCTCTCTCGCAAGACGACACCCCCAAGAATCTCCAACATGCCGTGCCATTAATTCTCTTGATTCCAGATCATCTCGATCGTCATTAACAACACCCGCCGAATAATTAATCAAAAATTTGTAGTTTAATTGCTCCGAAAACCAATCACCCCAAACTAGCCTAATATAAATACGTCGCCACCCCAGTATCAAACTCCGTGAAAACACAACCCGGAGAAGGAGTTCAACCCTCAAGAGAAATTGATTTTGAGTGCAATACCATACCAAAATTCTTGCGACAATGGAATCCTCCACCGGCAAGGACTTCAAGATCGGAGAGTGCCAAGGCCAGAAGGTGGTCGACGGCGAGGTGATGCCACTCGTCCTGCTCCCTTCGGAGCCCGCCAAAAGCGACGCCGAGTCCCTCGTCGCGGCCTTGAAGAAGAACGGGGAGTGGTTCGACCAGATGATCATCAAGAACAGTGCCGTCTTGCTCCGTGGCTTTGACGTGAAGAGCGCCGAGGACTTCAACGAGATCGTCGAGGCCTGCGGGTGGGAGGACATCCGCTACATCGGCCCTGCGCCGAGGACTCACATCTACAAGCGGATTTGGACGGCGAACGAGGGTCCGCTGTCGGAGTTCATATACTATCACCATGAGATGGTTCTGGTGAGTGACTGAGTCAAAACACGCATAGCAGTGAAAACATCTTTCATCGCGTGCTCCCTTAACGTGATATCACTTGGGAGTTTATCAGTTCATGCGTCTTTTCGTTTCTTGACACAGATTTCACTTTTATATGCTCCGCCAAACTCTTTAAATCTTGAAGTTTCAAGATAGATATTTAGTTTGATTCGTTGCATCACGAAAGTTGGATTCGTCGCATCACCAACTATAGTTGATTTGGTTTATATCTTAAAAGAAATCTGAGGGCCAATCGAAATGAGTTCTTTTCGTGGTTGAGTAATCTAACGGAGTGAATGGAATGCATCAGGAGTTACTTTTCTTACATGTTTATTCATTCCGTCACCGCAATGAATTTAAATGAGAAAATTACTCCCCAATATGCAATTGCATCCACAATGATCAATAGAAGCATGTCCTTTTTCTTGTCTATTTTCTCCTTGTCTGCTTCTCGCATATTCGTTAGAGAACAAATTGGATAATATTCAGTTCAATCAAACACTAATTAAAAACTACTTGCAGCAATCGTGCCTTACAATTCAAGTTCATATTTTTTAAAATTGAATCTGACTAGTTCTCAATGGATTTAGAAAGCGCGCTATCTCTTTCTGTAGAGAGTAGACTTCAGCTTGCTGAGTAGGGCAAAAGTTGTTTTCAATCGAGTCCCTCTCCTGTTGAGTGGTGACCAATCTAAATTGGATCTAATTATAAGACGAACATCAACTACTGTGGATGCAACAGTTCAAGGAAAACCCCAAGAAGGTGATATTGTATTGCGAGGTGCCGCCGCCGGAGGGCGGGGAGACGCCGTTTGTGCCGAGCTTCCAGGTGACCAAGCGGATGCTGGAGGAGTTCCCGGAGGAGGTAGAGGAAATGGAGAAGAAGGGGCTGATGTACACCTTCACTGCCCCGAGCGCGAATAACACTTCCTCCATGAGGGGCCGCGGCTGGCAGGATGCTTTCGGCACCCCCGACCCGGTCGAAGCCGAGAGAAGGTATACTCGTATATGCGGTTCATGATTATTTCCATATTCTATTCATCATCACGACAAGAATAAATTTTCGCAGACTGTAGCTCAATTCCGGGTATGCAATTGAAGCGGAAAAAAATTAACATTCATTTCATAGAGGATTTTGATAGTCTATACATAATCTGCATAAAGTTTAAACTTTATGTGACCATTTGAATCCAAAGTTTTTACTCTTCTTTCTAAAATGAACTTCATAACAATTTTTCTTATGTATTCAGGAAAGCCCGTGTGAATCAAATTTTACACAAATTGTGTCTATAATACAAACCCTTGTTGGCAAATATGAGTTTGGCTTGCACTATGTAATGTATGAGGCTCGCGTGTGGAAAATCTTTTTTTTTTCCCGAAAAATGTATAAATTGAAAATGATGCCATTCATATTTCGATTAGGACCCCTCTTAAGATACTTTGGATTAAAAACACGATCTACAGATAATTTGGCTAATGCAGCACAACGAAAACGCCAGTATTCATCTAATTTTGATTTTGCTCTGTACAAAGATTTCGCGATGGAAAATTCGATTTCATTCGATTGTAAGTAATTTTTTCTAGGGTTAACGCCATGGGAATGGACGTGGAATGGCTGCCCGACGGTGGACTGAAGACGATAATCTGCCCGCGATCCCTCACGAGGGTGTTCGAGGGGCGGAAAGGGAGGAGGATGTGGTACAACACAGTGGTGGGGATGCACGGGAAGGAGATCAGCTCGGCCACCATGGCCGATGGGACGGAGATCCCAGACCATGTGGTGAAGCGATGCGGCGAGATCATCGAGGACGAGAGCATCCAGTTCAAGTGGGAGAAGGGCGACGTCCTCTTCTTTGACAACATGGCCTTGCTTCATGGACGCAGGCCGTCGCTCCCACCAAGGAAAGTGTTGGTGGCTACTTGCAAGTGATTTGGTCCCGAGTCGTGTTTTCGAAAGCTTTGAAACAGATTATATGGAGCCAGGAAGAAGTGGAATGAACTAAGGCAAAGTCTGAATAAATGTTGATTTAGTTATAAACGTTATACCATGTGTAATAATGGCAGCAAGCCGCCGCCACCGTGTCAGCGAGTTCCCACGTCGTCGCTCCTCCTCCGCGACTCAGCAGGGGAGGTCGCGACCTCGGGCAACCTCAAATCCAAGGTCGAGGACTGCCGATATGGGGTCTTCTTACTAATAAGTAAAATTTTTACTTTATGAAATATCCATTGCTGTTCACTTCCTTCTCTGCGGTGTTTATGATTGAGTTTGATGTCCATATACAAATTCCTCACGTGGAATGAAAGAGGTCCGCGAGATACATATGTTCGATCGTGTAGAAACATGGGAATGACCATGCTCGCTACTTATCTGCAAATAGTAGCAAAGGGAACAATGTATACCTCATTGCGCCTCGTCCATGTCCTAATCTACTATGCCATACAACAATCGCAATGACATCAGCAAGTCTGAGAATATCCTCCAAATTTGCATTCTTCTCCAATCCATGAACTCTTTGCGCACCATCTCAATCGACATACAGCCCTAGCCTCCAATGTCACGCCTTGGTTGTCGCCGCATCATGTTTGTCCATGCCAGGCAACCTGAGACTCTGGTGCAAGACAGCATCGATCGAGATCGGATTCTTAAGAGAGCCGATCAGAACAGTTTGAGATCGTTCGTTCTCTTGAATCCTTTGTCCAGAAGGCGCAATCTAAAATAGCAAGGAACCGCCATTTTTTCATGGCAGAATGCTCTCAAATGTTTTGCTTCCATGTTGTTTAAGAGAAATCAGAAACGACGTCATGTTCATGTGTTTGGGGGCACCGTTAGTGTCTCGCAAGCCATGTAGGAGAGAATAATAATAATAGCTGCCTTGGATTTTTCCTTCACATGACACCGGCGGACAATGTTTGCAAGTTTTGAGACATAATTTTATGAAAGGAAAGTTTCACGACTCAATCATACTTTTAAGGGTAATAGAAATATTGAGGCTTCCGATTCACTCCATTCATATATTTTATTAAAATGTAAAAATAAGAATAAAAGCACTATCTCGGCTACGTTATGCCACGTCTAAATTCTAGATGAATGTTGATTAAGTAAGCCTAGATGAACTTATATGGCACCTTGTGAATGAAGAACCATTCTATTGCCTTTTATCAGTATTGTTTTCGCTACATATACAACTACTATGCCTTCGCCGCCGTCCATCATTACATAATACTAAAATGGTGTTAACAGTGAAATGTACGTGTGTATTGTGTTAGAGAAGTCCCATATCGCAAAATTAGGATAGTATAGAGCAGTTAATATATCTTAATTAGCCCATAACTCATTAGCAAAAGCTTTTGAATAAAGGTCAATTGGATATTTTGCTAGGCTCAACACATTGGACTCTCTCTTGGCGATCTCCTGGGCGAAGGTATCGAAATTTTTTCTGCGCGCTCCCAACATTCGCCAGTTTTAGGTCTTCATGGGATGTTTGTTTGTGGATGTTTCTGGCCTTCACTGCCTCTATTGTTTCTCTTAAAATGGCCCAAATTTGCATTAGCCCACTGGGTCTTAGAATCCAAATACTCTACTAACCCTAAAACGGTCTGACCAATTCAAGTCATTGCGCGCAAATTAAAGTTTATTGTCTTCATTCTTTTCCTTTTATACTGATTTTCTCAATAAGGCCCATTTTGCAATAGCTCAGCGGGTCTGGAATTCGTACACTCTTATATCTGTGGAAGTAGAAAAATCCAATTCATTGAGTTAATCTATGTTGCTTTTTCAATTTTTTGTGAAGGGTAAACCTCTCAAAACCAGCTTTGGATTTATCATACACACTATAAATTATCTTTTCAGTTACACTAAAGTTTATTTTTCTAATGTCAAATGCATATAATTATCGTAAATATTCTATACATAATATTATCAAGGGATAAGTACACTAGAAGTCCTAAAACTTCTCGTCAAAGTGCAATTGAGTTCTAAAACTTTCAAAAAGTGTAATTAAGTCCTAAAACTTGTCACAAAGTGCAATTGAATCCTAAAATTTCGAGTAAAAAAAATTATCAAATTGGTCTAAATAAGTCATTCCGTTGATTGCACTTTTTGAAAATTTTAGGAATCGATTGCACTTTGATGACAAGTTTTAGGACTTGATTGCATTTTTTTTTTATAGTTTTAGGATTCAATTGCACTTTTATGACAAGTTCTAGGACTTCTAATATAATTATCTCTACTATCAAAGTCCAAGTTCAAAGAAGTCACAATTAAAACTTAACTACTCATTCTTCAACACAGTAAAAAAGTCATCATCTAAATCCTACTTCAAAGCCCTCTCTCCTTTCTAATCGCTTTCCAGAAGACCCCGATGCATTAGCTTTCAAAGTTTGGATTCAAAAGGATTAAAAAAAATGCGAGTTGATCTGCTTGTGCTAAAGAGATGAAGGTTACGTTTAAAAGGAACCTTTATCAGAATACTTTGATGAATGAAACTTAGTCAACTTTGTGCTTCTCCAAATAATATAATCAGCTCCGACCAAAAATAATAGTAAATATAATCAGCCCCAAAAAGAGCTTTTGCCGTCAAAATTGTAATTAGGACGAAAAAGGGAAGAAGAAATGATTGAAGAATGGCAAAAGACGATGGACTAGCAAGGCTGCAACGACTTGATGAATCATATGAAATTTGACCCTAAAAAGGTACTAATGGCGAGATAAAAGTGATAGATTCGTGTATCTCGATACAAACCTCTTAAGGTGACAACTGTGACAAAAAATCTTAGGTAAATTAACACCTGAGGAATGCACCTTTGAAACCCAACGTAAAATACTTCAGAATTGACATAACTAGTTAGAACATTAGGGAATTTCTCATGTAAGAACTAGATATCACATGATCAAATTTCACCAATTGCGTAGAAATTACTCTGAATTAAGAACTACCGCACCGATCAAAGCCATGGACTCAATCGATTACGGGTACCGTAAGATATTCTATGGATTTTCAGGTCCTCCACGTAAGGTGGGTAATTCACTAAATGCATGAAAAAGCCGTAGAATTATGTCCCAATGATTTTGAATAGGGGCGGCCCTTCACTTTCCCTTTCTCCATTTTCTTCCTCGTAATCATACAAACATCTTCTTTTTTCCACAGCACATATAAAATTCGGTAAGTCGCGCAAGAATGTCGCGAGGAACGCGTGTTTTTTCTTTCTTCAAAGTCGTGAGAAACGTGGTTAAGAAACTTTATTAAATTACATCAGTAGTAGACTTTGGGCTAGCTTTGTTGGTGTGCATAAGATAAGCGTAAATGGTTGAATAACTTGGCGAAAAAAGGGTCAAACTTTTCCGTCATTCAAACGTTGAAGAAAGGGATCCTATCGCAAGCAATAACATTATCTAGAATGAGTCCGTTGGAGGGTTCCTTGACTGAAGTATATCCCTATACAATGTCGATGAGCTTTATGTCTCGGATGAATGCATCGGGCTTCTTTCGAGTGTGAATACAGCTAAAAAAAATTAGAACTATTAGATTACGAAAGGAAGCAACTAGTAGGCCTCTTAAACCTCATGCTTGACTGGCTTAATGAAGTAGATTCATGTTTGTTTTCAACTGTCTTGTGAAATTGATTTTTCTATGGTTGTGTAAAAACTTATAAAGGCTGAGCTAGTTTAATGCTTATGTGGAAATTTCGCAACAAGTCGAAATTTCGACGTGAGAGCTTTAACTCTTCATTTTTACTATTCCGTTTAAAAGAATGGATTTTTTTTCCATTTGGGTATATTTCTGAAAGAGTTGATAAGTCTAAAATATCGTTGGTAAAGAGATTATTGGTAATAGGTAACTGATAACTTATCTGTGCCATCACTTTTATGAAGTTTTTTTACATTTTGGAAATTATCGAGTTTTCTTTTTTTTTACCGATTTTTATGTCTTTCTTACAAAAAGTAAAAACTTGAAATATATCAACTCCCATGTGAATTTACTAATCTTATTTTAGCGACTTATCAATTTTTCCAATAAAATCATCAAGAAGTTTTATATTACCAATTCTCAATTGAGTTAATTATCGATGTTTATTTTATTTTTTATTAATTTATCACATTTGGTTTTTCATTTGCTAACTTTTATTTGTCTTTCAAACAAAACGCCATAAATTTATTGACTCTTATATGAATTTACCAACATTGCTTGTGTGAGTTACCATCATTTCACCCAATAGATTACCGACTGGTTTTTATTTACCTCACTTTCTTTCGAGTTACTCACTAAAACTAATCTGCTTTTTTCATAAAAAAAAAAATAACAACAATAGTTGTATGAATTGCTAGTTTGGGACAAATTATTATTGGGAAAATTACCCAATTAGTCCTAAATCTATTATACGGATGCCAATTCAGTCACAAAATTTTTAATTTTGCCAATTTAGTTCTAAATATTTTCGGCAAAATTACGATGTAATCCTTTTTAAGTCAATTTTCGCCGAAAATTACTAACGTGACAATTCGGTCATCACCGACTGTCTTACATGTCACACCGCTACGTTAGCGATTTCTGACGAAAATTAACTGAAATGATTACAATGAAATTTCGCATAAATATTTAGGACTAAATTGATAAAATTAAAAAATTTACGACTAAATTGACATCTATATATAAAATTTAGGACTGATTGGAATGAGCGTATGAGTTACCTCTTGAACTTGCCGAGACCATTTTTAGAGTCCTAGGATGACACCTTACTAGGATGTCAGTGCCTTGTCGCGTTGTCAAACTTTAATGAGTCATTAATTTCGGAACCAAATATACATTTAGATTTGGTCCCCATGCAACTAAATCATGTCCAAAATTCACTTGTCTACTCTGAATTTCAACCATCCACATCCCCATATCTCTGACCCATTAAAACGTATCCCCACGTTATTTCTCTAGTAGACCTATTAAAATGGATCATAAACTCATTTCTTAATCCGTATATTAATAAATGAGTCATAAATAAGTTAATTATATTTGGTAAATGGGTCATAAATGGATAGAAATCTAATATTAGTATTAAATGGGTCATAAATGGGTCGTAAATGGGTTATAAAAGAGTTTACAACTGATTTAAACTCAACTCATCTCTCTCGCCCTTACTCAACCTT